CACTATTACGTGTCGGGGTACGGGAGCGTACGGGAGTACTTTATCAGTATTTTCCCTATACTTTTATTTGGAAGAGCTTTGGAGTCTTTGTTCTTTTATGAAGTGATCAGACGAGCTTCATGAGTTAGTGATATAGATCATGAGTTAAATAGTGGGTGTATGATGAAAAGTGAGTTGGATAGATGAGATGATCAGTGATATAGATCATGAGTTGAAAGTGAGTGGTGAAATATGGGAAAAGCTTCTACCCAAATGTTGGCGTGAGTGGTGCAATATGAGAAAAGCCCTTACCCAACGTTGACCCCCGTCATTCAGCAGAGTAGGGATGACAACCATGGACTGTTCTAGACGGTCTGCGGAACACTAGCATGCTCGCAACCTGTAGGTGTTAATGGACTTGAGTGTTCATTCGCTGTACTCTAAGACCCCCGTTATTCAGCAGAGTATGGATGACAACCATGGACTGTTTTGACGGTCTGTGGAACACTAGCAGGCTCGTAACCTGTAGGTGTTAATGGACTTAAGTGTTCATTCGTTGTACTCTATTCCCCTCATGAGTGCCTTTAGGGCATGTAAGGCTGGGGAAACCCCTTAAGTATGTTCATCAGCTGTATGGAAAACCCATTGACATGTATTGCGGGGGTGGGGGGGGGGGGGAACTCCCGTGGGAAATACCGTCAATAAATAAGAGCTATGGACTTAGTATATGGAAAACCCATTGACATGTATTGCCGGGGGGGGGAACTCCCGTGGGAAATATCGTTGATGAATAAGAGCTATGGACTAGCACATGGCGACGATGTGAATTCGTGCCTATTTGACATAAATTGCTGAAGGAAAGCAATGTTGTCACCTTGTTGGTTGTTTTATGTTAGGATGTCTTGTTTGACATAACTTGCTGAGGGAAAGCAATGTTGTCACCCCGATGTTTGTTTTATTTGACATAACTTGCTGAGGAACCCCCAAAGCAATGTTGTCACCCCTATTGATAATCCTTAGGCCAGGTCCCTTATGATAGTTGTTTTAGGGACGTAAAGTGAGGATAATGGGAATGGGTAATTAGGGTTATTTTGGTTGATGGAATTAATAAATTTATTGTTGATTGAGAACTTAATAAGTTTATTATTATTGTGGGTTGAAAACCCTATATGCTCACCAGGCTCCCAAGCCTGACCCACTCAGTTTAATTGTATCACATGTATCGATACGAAGTTGCTTACACTGAGAGATTAAAAGAGAAGTAGATCACTAGTGTAAATGAATGTAAGTTTTGTTTATGCTTATGTTTTTGTATTGACAATGGCATCCCAATGGTTTAAGTGAATAAAATACATTTCTTCGGAAATGATTTGATAACATATTTATCATGTTTTTCTGGGAACAAATTCTGCAACACTTTTAATCAAATGATTACTCTGAAATTATTTTAAAAGCATAAATTAAATCGGTCTTTTCTGGCCGTGAAATTGGGGATGTCACACAGTCCTAGGTGAAGGCCATGTGGGGTAGCCCATGACATTGGATGTAAGACCATGTGGGTTAGCCCATGGCAGTCATAGGTAAAGACCATGTGGGGTTGCCCATGACATTCTTACATGTTTTATGTATGCATGGCTTATGTGATATGTGTGTAGCTTTAATTAGCTAACAGGATATGTGTATGTGTATTGTGTGTGGTATGCTCTGGGGGACTCACTAAGCATTTCGCTTACAGGTTGTTGATTTGTTTCAGGTACGTCTGAGCCCAAGGGTAAAGGCAAGGCGTGATGGTGCGGCGTGCACTCTATCTCTCTTTCATTGATATGTTTTTGGGGACACTATGATGAATTAAATAAGTTGTAATGATTACTGATTTGAAAACAATTATGTTGGGATTTCATGGTTTATGCAAATGTGTTTTATTAATTAAATGAAAATTTATTTGAAAATTTTGGGTCGTTACACATACTAGTACGCCCGACTCCGTGTACGCCCAACGTACTAGGCTTAGCCCTAAAACCACTAAACTTCCGAAGGCCATAACTTCTTCGTTCTAAGCCCGATTTCGACGATCTTTATATCCATGGAAAGTAATGAGAAGCTCTATAATCCTATCATCTCTCATTCTTAAATCCAAAATTCATAAGTAGCCTGGACTATCACTTTACAATTGTACCATTGGGATCGAAAGCACAAACCGAACTTCTTGGATCACATAATCTACATTACCCACATCCGAATGGGTCTAAACTTCTCTTTCCCAGATCCCGAAGCTTTATGATACTTGATCTTCGGGTCACGACCCAAAATTATGAAACGACTCGAAACAGGGTGTTACAGTTTGGATATAGTACCGAACATTTATATTTGCATGATAGAATCAATTCGCTCCCATTCCTCCTTGATAACAACAAAGTTTTCAATTTTAGCTTTTAGATGATCAGTCGTTCCAAATCTGGTGCAGTGAGTCTGAAAAAGTTTTCTCCATGCATCATATTTAAGCTTTTCTAGATCAAGAACGATGGGTATGGAGGATTTGATATTTGATATGCCATAAGATTTATTTGCATTGACATTGGGATTGGATGTTGATGGTGTTGGATTAGATGTCTAAGCCCATAACTATTTTGGTATGTACTTGACCCGATTATGAGCATGGTCCTTTTGGGTTGCCTTCACCATAGCAACTGATAGGATGAATTAAGGAGAAAGAGGATTAATTATGATTTATTAATATATTATGTGAATAATATATTAAAAGAAAAATCATATTGTTTAATTAATATTAGTCAATAATTAATTAAGAATTAATTTTGTGGCTAAAAGAGATTAATTAAATAAAGGGGACTGATATTGCAATTATATGATAGTTGCAAATTGGGCTATGGTTTCCTAATGGAAAGGGGATTGGACGAAATCTATGGGAGGCCCATATGATTTTCGTCCAAGGGCTTTTTAGAGGGACTCCATGGGTTGCTTAAGGCCTAAGCAGAGAATTAGGGTTTCACCTGAAACCCTAGCAACCCTCACAAGTATATAAAGACCCCTAAGGCTCCCAAAAACGTGGCTATCACTTCTAAGAGAACCCTAGACGTTTTTGGTGCCTCCTCCTCCCTCTCCTAAGTCATCTTGTTGCTAGTGGTGTTTGTGACTCCATTAGAGGTGCAACATTTGAGGCACTAAGCTTTCAGAAGTCAAGATCAGGAAGGATTTGTGATTGTTACTGCTACATAACAATCAAGGTAATGTTTCTAACCCTAATCTTATGTCAATTTCAATAATAGCATGTTAGATCTAGGGTTTATGCTTTGGTATTCAATGTTGTTGTATTCATAGTAGAAAACCTAGATAAAAGCAATTAGGGTTGCATGTACACCATAAGAATGATGTAATGCTCATAACCCATCAGATGGTTGCACCGTGATTCAAATAAAGTGAAGAAAACATAAAAGAAACTGAGATTGATAGAAGATAGAAGATAGAAAATAATCAACTGAGAAGGGTTTTCACCAGGAACGAAGAATCGACGACTAGGGTGAGAAATTGTAGGAGGTCTTTGATACCATGCAATCTTTAATATTTTCCCATAAAATTAACCTTTCTCATTAAAATAATATATATACATAATACAAATGTATGGGCCGAATACCAAAAACATGGGCCAAACATAATACAATACATCAAATATACATTAACATTCTTTACTAGATGTTGCATGCCCTTTAATCCTGATTAGAAACTCGTTATGACCCAATATCATAGATTCCCACATCTACTCCTTTATTGTCATGACCCAATATCAATTTAAGTTCTAATCAACCTTTAAAAGGAGTAATATACTTTGGAATCCTCATCTCTAATTATTTGACAATTTATAATCGCCATCTTTCATCTTCCATGTAAGTCAGTCTCTTTGAAAGGTCATTCTCATGAAAAGAAAAACTTCCTCTCTGTCGAGGATTTTCCTCACTAAGCTTTTAGGAAAGTCAGGACAAGGACTCTAATTGTAATAGAGACAACCCCGTCTTCTCTTAGCTATATGCTAAACACTAGTCTTTGCTTTTCATCAATGCGTTCCGATTAGTTCAGGCCGGTCGATAAAATCCTCCGAGTGACTAACCATCACTGACGACTCGTGAGCTCGCAGGGCTCATAGGATGGGATCGAAGAGGAAAGCCCTTCTCTTCATTTCATTGGCGGGTTAGAGAAATGTTCACGACGTAAGTCAGTGGAAGCAAACGGGTGCACTAGAGTTTACATATTTCAATCGTATTAATACTTGCATTAGTATATTAATTCACCTTATGAAACATTTCACCGTGTGATAGTATTTTGCAGGTGCACTATATAAAACAAAAAATATACGAAACAACATTATTATTTATTTATTTTTGACAAAAATCACTATTTTGTAGGGGTGACAATTTATGACACGACACGAAAAAAATACACGAAACGAAACGAAATTGGGACGAAACTGAAATTTGAATTCGTGTTCGTGTTAACTGTAAAAAACACGATGTCGTGTCATGTCGTGTTCGTGTTCAAAATTTGACACGAAATTGAGACGATTTAGCAGTTCTTTATCGTGTTTTTCGTGTTTGTCATGTTATATTTGATAAAATATTCATTACATAAACTAGTTTTTAGTATATGTTATATTTGTCGTGTCGTGTCATGTTTGTCGTTTTTTAATTCGTTCGTTTTCGTGTTAGTTAGAAAAAACACGACATCGTGTCGTGTCGTGTTACATAAAACCTTGTCGTGTCGTGTCATGTCAGACAGAAACACGAAACAATAGCACGATTTGCCACCCTACTATTTTGTAGTTGAGCTGCTGCATGGATGGTTATTAGGAGAATTTTGTTATTTTTTATTTATTTTTTTCTTAATAAAAGCATTAAAAATAGCTATTTCATCATTTCCTATTTAAGTTATAGCCTATAGAGTTGTTACGGAACCGGGTTAAGCCACACGCGAGCCAAAGAGGCAACTCACGCACTCACGGTCTATTCATGATTTTTTGCAACTATCTTCCCGCGCTCATTTTAAACAGCAGAAAGAAGCATACGCTTTTTGGGAAAGTCCTAACCTAGGGTTTTACAGCACAAAATTCCCAATCGCAACTGCTCACCATGGAAATGGTAACGAGTACTCCGATGGAGATCTCCGTTCAAATTGTCACCAATGGAGACGCCCCTCACGAACAGACGGACGCCGTCCCTGATTCCGCAGTAGATTCTTCCCCACCACCGGCTGTGGCGGAAGACAAAATCCTCATTTCAGGTATTATGAACTCTAAAAAGGCATCTGTAACACCTATTAGACTTGTATATGACTGATAGCAGCTCGTCAGCTTCAGCAGTTGCCTGCAGCTAGCTTCAGTGGTTGATGAATTTAAGTTAGTTAGTCAGTTTCTACTTTCTATGTTTTTCCTATAAACTCTTCTTAATAGCTGGCAATTGATTTAACGCATCCAGTTTTCATCTTCTTCGATTGCTCTCTGTTCTCCTTCTGTTCATGTTCTAATAGCACCTAATTATAGACGGTGTTGTACATTTGATTTTTTTGAGATTACAGAAGCTGAAGTTTTGTAATTATTGTAGTTGAAGTTTGCTTGAAGCCTTCTAGCACAGCTCGAATGGAGGATGTGAAATTAGCTGTCGAAAGGTAATTACTTTCATGAACTGCATATATCTGTATTCTAGAGACAAAAATGTATTTACTATATGTAAAAAACGATTACTAGTACCTTAAAGTTGAGCAAATTCTTCCTTTCTACTTCCCCATCTCCAAAAAATAGCCCACTTTAAAATATTGTTTGAATGTCAATGAAAACTATTCCTGATTAAATACAATCAAAGACTATTTATCCAATCATTAGCTTGTAATTCAGCAACATCGAATTTTCCCTAAGATTAATTTATAAAGCAACTTCTGTAGGAAAAAGAAAATTTGAAGTCTATTTTTGGGGATCTAAAGGGAATTATTGACATATGCAAATGCAACTTCAGTGCTGTGAACTAGTAGAACTAAAATCTCCAGCTTTTTTATTTTGTTCAGAATGCTGGAAAATAGGAATTTAAGCTATGTTGATGGTCCAATCGATATACCTCAGGATGACACCTTTTTGAAAGAGAACGTGCAAAGAATATGTATTTGTGACACAGGTATATGTTTTACCCTGTATTCAAACTACAATCATTGTAAAATGGTATGCTATAATTTAATTACCTAATTTTTTATGTATAATAATGTCCTCATTATCATTTATTTATCTTGTTGGCAGAGGAACGGGTCACAAACCATGGTATTTTGTTGTTTTGGCAAGTCAAACCTCTTGTGCATGTCTTTCAGGTAATTTGATATTCTGTTTGTTGTCTATGTTTATGCAATATGGCTAGTGTGTTCTTAAAGTTTATATTTGCAACTTATTACTTACAACATGTTTATACTTTATACTCATTTAGTACTTTTCATTCATGGTTATTTGGATATTGTTGTTGCTTATTCAGCTTAGTGAAGAGGGACCTTGTGAAGATTTAGATGGGGATAGCCAACTTTCCAGCTTTAGTGAATGGATGCTTCCTGCAAAGGACTTTGATGGCATGTGGGAAAGGTTAGAATTCATGAATCATGACCTATTTTAATATTTTCAAATAGAATGATTTGAAATGAATTAAAGCTGATAAAAGGTTTGATTCTGCAGCTTAGTTTATGAATCTGGTCTCAAGCAACGCTTACTAAAATATGCAGCAAGTGCTTTACTTTTCACTGAAAAGGGTGTTGACCCTTTACTTGTATCATGGAACCGGTAAGTTTTGGAATTGAAAACAAAACATAACATGGAATGGAATCTCAAATTCCGATTCCACCGGAATCCATGAAACAAACACACCTTGAGTCTAATGCCATTTCTATAACTTTTGCAGTATCATTCTTCTACATGGTCCTCCAGGAACAGGCAAAACATCATTATGCAAAGCCTTAGCACAAAAACTGTCAATACGTTTTAGCTCCAGGTTTGTATATTTTCTATTCCCATCAATCACTGATTCCATTCCTTTTATTCACTGAAACAAGTTTTATTTATTTTCTGCAATTAAAACAGATATCCACATAGTCAGCTCGTGGAAGTCAATGCACATTCATTGTTCAGTAAATGGTTTTCTGAAAGTGGCAAATTGGTAAATTCACAGCTTTATTTATCTCAGATTAGCTCATAATCTCATTATATCTGACTTGTACACATGGTTTCAGGTTGCCAAACTTTTTCAGAAAATTCAAGAAATGGTGGAGGAAGACAACAATCTGGTATTCGTTTTGATTGGTGAGAAGTGTGTGATTGTGTATTAAATTAAATTCTTACTTTTTTTTAATCATTGAAGAAAAAAAAAAATACTAATAGCTTGATATTGTGCAGATGAAGTTGAAAGCCTAGCAGCAGCAAGAAAAGCTGCTTTATCTGGCTCAGAACCTTCAGATTCTATAAGGGTAATTAACATTTTCTCAAAAAAAAAAATTCTAACCATTTTTTTTAATAATAAAATACCAAATTGGATATTTGTTTATTAGGTGGTTAATGCTCTACTGACTCAAATGGACAAATTAAAGTCCTCACCAAATGTCATCATTCTCACCACATCCAACATAACAGCTGCTATTGGTATGTTTTTTTTTTCACAAAAAAAAAACCTTAAAATCCCCAAAAATGTCATCATTTTGTCTCATTTTTAATTTCTTGTAGATATTGCATTTGTTGATCGAGCCGATATAAAAGCATACGTGGGCCCACCTACTCTACAAGCACGATATGAAATACTCAGATCCTGTTTACAGGAGCTTTTAAGAACTGGAATTTTGTCCACTTCTCAGGTATAAAAAAAAATTATAAATTTATCCGTTTTCTAAAATACTTAATTAATTAAAGAATTTGCACTTACACATAGGATGATGATGATGAGTTAATTCTTCCGAATTATGCTTCTTTGAAAGACAAGTTAGCTTCAGCAACACCACAAGGCTCTGAATACCACTTGAACATATGGAAGCATTTGATGGAAGCTGCTGAAGCATGTGAAGTGAGAAAAAACAAAAATCTATTTCTTTCATAATTTAAATAAAAGTAATTATTAATTTATATTTATTTATATTCAGGGATTGAGTGGAAGATCATTAAGGAAGCTTCCATTTTTGGCTCATGCGAATGGTGAATGTGATGACCTCACAAAGTTCTTGCAAACAATGATCAGCACTATCAACAGGGAGCGATCTGAGATACCTGATTAAGTGCGTCTGTTTACTTTCAGACACTTTTGTGAAATATGATGGATCGCTTGTTTTCTTTCTTCAGTGCTAAATCTATTGAGCTTGTGAATATAGCATAGGCACTTTATTTCATAAAAAAAAAAAAACTTGAACTAATATACCTACAATATATTCTTCATCTCAATCTTCAAAATCCAATCCTGTGTTTATTAGCTTATCTGGTATGTATTCGTGAAGAGAATTTCTTCTTCAAAGTATAATGTTTTATTAAGAAAAAAAATATAGAATGTTATAATAAGAAAAGTAAAAATAGAATATTATAATGAAAAAAGAAAGAATAAAAATATTTGTATTTTTCGTGGTTAAGATTATAATATATTTACACCCACTTCATAAAAGACAAAGAATATAGTAAAGAACAATGCAAAGAAGTAGACCCTCATGATATTGTTGAACAACACTTTTTGAAAGAATAATAAAGAAAGCCTTAAAGGTTAAGAAACCTAAAAATGAAAGATGTAAAAGGTTGACAATACAATATTCTTTCTTAGCCTCAATAATGACTTTCAGTTTGTATAATGTGGAGAGAATTTAGGTGTCACTAAATTGATGATGACACATATAATAACAATTTAACCAATAATAGCAAGTGTTATAGCACGATTTAGTCCCCTTTTAAACCATTGTGTTGGTCCTATCCCTACTTTTTAATTTGTGGTTAGGTTTGTTGCTTGTCATAGATTTATAGAATATTCTTTAACTATATAAATTAAATAATTTTTTTTGAACAACTAAATTTTATTAACAAACTAGTAAGGTGTTTGTAAAAAAAATCAATTACAAAGGAATGTAAATAACCATATTTTGAAGGCTGATAATCCAATTAACTAAAATTTTACGATTCATGTTGACAAACGAGTAAATGAATGATCAATTATAGACTCAAAAATGGATCTAAGAGTCTCCGAACAAAATCTAGAAACTACAGACATAAAATAGATCCCAATGGTCCCTAAAATCGAACTCAACAACATAGAACAACCTTAATGGACAACATTTTTGTCTCTCATTTTGACAACTTATTCTAAAATCCGTCAATCAATGTCTTCCAACCAAGGTTGTAGAACTCGCTACTCGGTACCTGTTCGGCCGGCTACCGAGTAGCGAGTACTCGGAGAGTACTCGGATTTGGTAATTCAAGTAGAAATATTTTTAGGGAAATTATATTTGTCAAAATAATAAGTTGATTGAAATATATAACAAAATTAGATGCATGTGAATACACAAAAACTGAAAAACACTCAATAGTCTCACTTCATGAATATAACTGAAAATTTAAGATATATATGTAGTAATAATCACATGTGTGTGTGTTAAATAATAAATCATTAAGTATATTATACATATTAATCACTGAGTTGGCTGAGTTTTACAACATTGTTCGCTTCATTAAGGGGTCGATCGGGGAGTATTAAGATTCTGTAACTCGCATCGGTAAGGGGTTGAGTAGGGAGTACTCGGCTGCGTAATTGACCAATTTGGCGAGTCTTACAACACTGCTTCCAACCTATCACCATTTCCATATTCAAACCTACATGGATACCTAAATAGGTAAACATACGTTTATCCGCTGACAACCTGTAATACCAGCGAAATGCTCCATATTATGCAAATAAACATCAACATCGTACAAGTTTGATTTTTAATAATTTAATTTTAAAACCGAACACAAATAAAAACATCTTAACACCTTAGAAATATTTTCACTCAACCATTCTTTTAAAAAGAAAACATTATCAACGTAAAAGAAATGAGAGATTACTATATCACCATTCTTGCAACTTTTTAAACACACGTTTGTTTGTTTGTTTGTTTTTTTAAATATATTTAATTGGATCCATCTGATGGATGTCCAATTTTACATCCAATTACAATCGACCAAAGTATCATAAATATTTATAAAAAGAACATCCACTTTAAAATATAAATTTTAAAGATTCAATAAAAACCAAAATATAATAACAATCAACAATACTTAAAGTTCAAAAGCGGAATGTTTCAACCAAAATAAAATAAAATTCCATAGTTTGATATCTAGTTGGATGATAATTAAATTATAATTTGATAATAGTTGCATAACAGATTAATAGTTGGATGATATATATATATATATATAGATATATATATATATATATATATATATATATATATATATATATATATATATATATATATATATATATATAAAGCATATTGGAAAATTCTTGAATTTTAAGAGGTATAATTTTAAATCTTGGGTAAATTACACCATTCGTCCCTCGTACACATGTCAGAAAGCGTGTTTAGTCCATATTTTCAAAAATTAACTCGGACCGTCCCTTATTATTTTAAAGTCTGTACGCTTCGTCCCTCATTAATTTAAATTTGCATGTTGTACCCCTTTCCAACTATAAAATGACTATATTGCCCTTAATATTTTATTATTACATTAATCATAAATTATTTTATATTAAAAAAAAGAAATTAAATACCCTAACCCACCTCCCCGTTCCCTTTCCCCCTTTCCTTTTACATTCCTTCTACCTCCTTCGTTTCCAGGTTACTAAACCCCACCATCACTTCATCGGATTCATCTTTTGCCGAGGAACATCGCCTCAACGATTTCATCTCTTCCGGCGAGCATCAAGACACCCCAAATGAAGAACCGTCGACCGCTCTCTCTTTCTTCTCCGGTCTCAATCAAGAATTTTCAGACTCTTTCTTTCTTCTTTGTTCGAATCGGAGGCAGAGGCGGCCAGTATCTCCTGCGACATGGTTACAGAGGGAAGAGGGGCTGAAGACCATTTTAAATTTGTTCAAATCGGCACCAAGTGCAGATCTTTTAGATATGATAAAATCTGAACGCTAGTTTCTTTCTTTCTTTTCTGTTTGTTTTATCAATTCCCAGACTTCAAACTCATAAACTTGTATGGGTAATTTGGGAGTACTTACTTGAGCTCGGCTGATTGCATGCACCACACCCTTTTCTCTATTTCAAAAACTCTTTTCCTTTTAAGTTTTCTTTTTCAAAAATTCTTTCGAAAGCATTTTTCTTTTGAAAATCTTTTTACCATTTCCTTAGTTTGAGTCCAGTCACACCCGAGAGTGTGCCTGAATCCCTCAAACCAAGGCTCTGATACCAACTTGTAACATCCCAAAATACGACCCACAAATTTTCGTTTGAAAACTTTACTAAACCATAATATCAAATATTAAAAGATAAATCCATGGATCATGCGTCTCAAAATGTCATAATAAGTTTATCAAATCAACTGATGGCAAAACATATCAAAATATCTGAATAAAACTCTCAGGATAAAACTGAAGCTGTGGTGTGTGCGATGCCATCATCCCGAGCTCTTCCCTTTGCTAGCGGAAGTACCTGAAACCAAAAATGAAACTGTAAGCATGAAGCTTAGTGAGCTCCCCCAAACTACCACATACCATACAATAACATATAAAGCAACTACTGGGCCTTGCCCACTGCATCGGACCGAAATCCGGAAACTGCATCGGACCGAAGTCCGGAATTAACCAGGGCCTTGCCCTCTGCATCGGACCGAAGTCCGGAAACTGCATCGGACCGAAGTCCGGAACTAACCAGGGCCTTGCCCTCTGCATCGGATCGAAGTCCGGAACTGCATCAGACCGAAGTCCGGAACTAACCAGGGCCTTGCCCTCTGCATCGGACCGAAGTCCGGAACTGACTGAACATAACATAGCATAATCATAACTACTAGCATAAATACATATACTGCATACTGCATCAGACCCGAAGTCTGGAACACATAACACACAGACATGCTTGAATCACAAAGACATCAAGCACACTGAACTACTGCATCGGACCGAAGTCCGGAACTACTGCTAAATAAACGGGCCGACATTGTGGCCGTAGACCCGTTCCTACTGGAAGGAAACTCACCTCGTAACGCTGGCTGCTGAGGTGCTAAATCTGAGACTGTCTGACTGCTGCTCCGGAACTCCCCGGCTACAAATCCCAAAAACACTAAATCAAATACTGATAACTAATCTCAGGGTAAAATGACTATTTTACCCCTGGTCAAAGTCAACTTCCTGGTCAAAGTCAACTTCCTGGTCAAAGTCAACTTCCTGGTTGACTCTACTCGCCGAGTCCTATTATGAACTCGCCGAGTTCCCGAACTCAATCTTTTCTACTCGCGACTCGACTCGCCGAGTCCCTCTACTTCCATATCCTTGTTCTAACCCACTGAGTCCTCTTCCACTTGCTGATTCAACTCACAACTCTAAAATCGGAGAAATCAGGAGTTTGCGCTCCGACTCGCCGAGTCCAAGAACAACTCGTCGAGTCCTATGCATGTCCTCACTAAACAGTTGATTTTAATCGATTCCAGTGTATCCAATTCATATATCTGAGCTTCTAGGGCCGATATAACACGTAAAGTTGCCAACTTTACGTACATGCATAGAGGTATGAAGCTAAAACACCCAAAATATGCTAGAAATGGGAACCTAGGGTTTGGAACAAGGCCTTGCTTTGCATAAAGGTAGCTACTTTGAGCTCCTGGGGCTCAATGATGTCCAGATCTATAGCTCACTACCCTAAAGGAGCTCCAATCTCGAGTTTGGACCTTGAAATGTCCCAAAAATGGCAAAACAAGCATATATGAAGATCTACTAGGAAAATGAACAAGGTAGAGGCTTTATTACCAGATGAAGTAGCAAATGGAAGCTAGCTTCTGGATCTCCTTCTGCACCTTCACTCCTTCCTTCTCTTCTACACTTCCAAGAATACACCAAAACACTCAAAATCAAGAAGGAATCACTCAAACTCACCAATGGAGGCCAGGGTTTTGAGGGGGAAACGCTCTAAGGGTGCTGGAGGCTGGGATGGGGGCTATAAGGACGTTTAAATAGGGTACAAGCCCTAAGGATTAGGGTTTCATCCCGACTGGCCTACTCGTCGAGTCCAGGCGCGGACTCGCCGAGTAGATCACTTAAAACTCCCGTCCAACCTGGCATCTACTCGACGAGTTAGGACTACTACTCGTCGAGTAGCTCTTTACAAAAGACTTTTAATAAATTAATACGTACCAGGTACGGGGCGTTACAATTCTCCCCTACTTATCTTAGACTTCGTCC